TCAGCCCACGGGGTCCCTCGAGCTCCCCTCGGGCTGCACGATGTCCTCGAGGATGGACTCAAACTCGGCCTGCGAGAGCTGACCACTGCCCCCGATTGCTTGCACCGTCTTCTCGAGGAAGCCGACGGCCGCCTGTCCCTTCTCGCCGACCTCCGCCGCGAGCGCCTCCAGCATGCCAGGAGCACGCAGCCTCGCCACTAGCTGCACTACGGTCACCCCGTGGTTGCCCACCTTCGGCGGCAGGGCCTCCTGAGTGCGCCCTCCGCCGACGTCAGAGTGTTGGACTCCAGCTTCACGTCCCCCATCAAGGTGAGGCGCGCCGGAGCTCGCGGCAACGTGATGACCGCGAGGGGGGTGAAGGTCATGCCTTCCGCCCTTGGTTTTCTTCTGCAGACGTTGGGCTCCAGCGACGCGTCCCATATCTCGCTGAGGAGCGCCAGAGCCCTGCTGCCTACGCTCTGGGGGGGTCCGCCCCCAGGTCCTTCCGCTTCCGAGCTCCGTGAGCCCTGTCTTGCAGCGCCTGCCGCCGCCAAAGCCTGAAAGCCTTGTCGAGCAGGCCGCCTCCGCAGCCCACCGCTGGGAGGAGCCGCGGCTCCACGACCTCGTACTGCTTCACAGCCTCCTCCAGGGATGGCCACTCTTCCTTGCACGCCACGCCCGACACCGTTACGATTGGCCACTGGCGCTGCATTCGCGCTTGTGCTTCTTCTGGTTCTGCGCCCAAGGTGCCCAGGGAAACTTGCTGAGGCAGCGCTGCGGCTTGGGGTCCAACAGCTGCGCCTCCTCCTTGTCCTCCTCCTTGTCCTCCTCCTCCTCCTCCTCCTCCTCCTCCTCCTCCTCCTTAGGCGCCTGCGTCTCCTTCACAAGGAGGCTGGGCAGCGTCACGGGGCCACCAGCGACGCCATCGCCTTTCTCTCCGATGCCTGTGCCTCCGCCAGGGCCTCGATTCGCCAGCTCGAAGGGGTTCGGCTCCTGCTCGGAGAGGCTGGGCTGCGCTGTGAGGTCCATCTGCTGCGCCGCCTCCTGGTTCGCCGTCTCCTTGTGCTCCTTCTGCTTCGCGTAGCGCTGCCAACGAGTGTGCTTCACGACCTTTGGGAAGCCCTCCTCCTGCTCCTCTGTCTCCGGCGCCCCAGCCGAGATGCCCTGGAGGGTGTTCAGCGCCGCTTCCTGCGGCTGGGGCCTGGCTCCCCACCACCTGGGCGGTGGCGTCAGGCTTGCCGGCGGCGGCGTGCAGCCTGGCCCGAAGATCTTCATCGACACCGTCGGCCGCTTCTCGAGGCTGACCTGCTTCTCCTCACGGCTCCCCGCCGACACCATCGGCTGCTCCGCGAGGCTGTCCTGCTTCATCCCCGCGAGTTGCGGAGCTCCCCAGCACCACCGCGACGAGCTCCCTAGCACCACCTTGAGCTCTTTCACCTGCGGCACCTCCGTGCTGAGCTGCTTCCACGGCTTCGCGATCCAGTCCTGCATCTCGCCAAGCTTGTCCACCGACGCCACGAGCAGCTCCCGCTGGAACAGCGACGTCGGGCCCCCCGAGCCCGGCAACGGCCATGTGGTCCTCGCACGCGGCCCTGGCTTCGCTTGGGACCTCTGTGAAGCCGCCACCGCCGTCGCCGATGTAGCACTCGCCGCCCAGCGTCCTGCCAACACTCGGCTGCGGCGAGGAGGTGTCACCGGCGCAGCCATCAATGGCGAGCTCCGCCTGCTCCACGTTGACGTCCTCCAGGAAGGCCGACAGACACCTGCCAGACTCCCGCGAAAGGCTCGCGGAACCCACGCGGATGACCAGGCGGTTCGTGCCTCCTCGCGCATCGCCATGGTTCCGAGCCGCTGCGCCACTTCCAAGCAATCGCGCGGCCCGAACGCCCCCCCCCCCCCCCGCGAGAGACCTGGAAATGGCCGAGGAAGAGGAGGAGGCGGAGGAGGAGGAGAAGGAGGAGGAGGAGGAGGAGGAGGAGATGGATCGAGGTCTCGGAGGTTGACGGAGCCCCCACCCTGCCATGTCGAGTGGCGAATTGCCCTTTTTCGGTTCTGGAGGGAGCGTTGCGGCCGCATGTTTGCGGTCCCTCCGCCTCGCCTCCTGTTGACGTCGTCATCCTGTTTCTCATCCCACTTACTCATCTCCCCTTGCGAAGAGGATAACGGGGACGAGAGGTGGAGAGGAAGGAGGATGAGGAAGAGGAGGAGGAGGAGGAGAAGGAGGAGTAGGAGGACAAGGAGGAGGCGCAGATGAGGACGACGGGGTGGACGAGCCGATTGAGGGCTACTGCGAGGTCGTTGTTTACGACGAGAATGAGGAGGATCCGGAGGAGGAGGAGGAGGAGGAGGAGGAGGAGGAGGACGAGGAGGATGAGGAGGAGCGGGAGGGGGTGGGGGAGGGGGAGCTTGAGGAGGAGGGGGAACGGTCGGAGGAGGACGAAGACGAGGACGAGGACGAGGACGAGGACGAGGGAGGAGGAGGAGGAGGAGGAGGAGGAGGAGGAGGAGGACAAGGCGGAAGAGGACGACAAGGAGGAGGATGAAGAGGATGACGCGATGGTGGAGGATGAGCATCTTCTTGGTGAGCGCTTTCTGGAGCCCTCGACACACCGATAGAACCTGCTAGAACCAACCAGACTCAGCCAGCTTTTTCTGCGCCCTGCTACCGCCTCCGTCTTTCATCCCTCGTCCTCATGTACACTAAGCGCAAGCGACAAATATGGGTGCACTCCACAGGCAAACAGTCCTCATCCTCCCCATCCTTCCTCTGGCCCGGCTCGCTTCTCCCTCACCCCTCCCGTCTCGCCCCTCCCTCTTCCTGCCTCCTCGGAGGAGAAGATGATGGCGAGGGCCAGGCGGAGGAGGAGGAGGAAGAGGAAGAGGAAGGTGGTGATGACGAGGACAACGGGCACGATGACAGAAAACACGGCAACGAGAACGACGAGAGAGACGAGGCAGAGGAGGAGGAGGAGAGGAGAAGGAGGAGGAGAAGGAGGAGGAGGAGGAGGAGGAAGACAGCGACGGCGACGACGATCACTCGAACGTTGAGGACGGCGGCGACGACGAGGGCGGTGGCCGCGTCAGCGGTGGCGGCGACCTTACCAAAAGGCTTGGTGATGTGGCAGGGGCCGCTGCTGCCCAAGCGCACCCGGGTCGTGGGCACCGCGGGTTTCCTCGCAGAGGCGCCCTGGGAATGAGAGCGATGAGGGGAATGATGATGAGGAGGAGGAGGACAAGGAGTAGTTGAGGAGGAGGAGGAGAAGGAGGAGGAGGAGGAGGAGGAGGAAGAGCAGGAGGAGGAGGAGGAGGAGGAGGGGGCTAAGGATCAAGAGCTTGATCATGGTAGTGGTTGTGATGCTGACGATAGTAAGCATGTTCATGCTGATTGTGATTATGGGGATTTTGGTTTTGCTGATGATCAGAGTGAGGGGGCTGAACCGAATGGTCATTCACTGTCCCTGGGTGCGTGGCTGAAGTGGAGTTCCGCGATGCGGATTCTTGTTGTTGTTGTTGTTGTTGTCGTCGTCGTCGTCGTCGTCGTCGTCGTCGTCGTCGTCGTTGTTGTTGTTGTGGTTGTTGTTGTTGAACACTATTACTTCTAAAGAATTATTATTGTTGGACCCCCTGGTGCACGCCCCCCGCCCAAAACCTAGGCCGCAGCTACATTTTCATCATTTTTCTGCGAAAGCTTCAGAAAAGTGGATTACCCCCGGATCCGGTTTTTTGTTGACGCTCGTTTTCCCTTGCAAAAAACAATAGAAAATGAAAATTCTTGTTCTTAGTTGATCAAATTTCAAGAATCCCTTGCAAAAAATAAGGTAAAGTGGACATTCGCGCTCGCAAGACGAAATCCTTCCAAAACCTTAGGTTTCGTAGCGATTTTAACATAAAAACATCAAAAACCCAATGGTTTTTTAAGAAAAAATTGTCAAAATGTCCTTCCGCGCGCTCTTGCGGATTCATAGGAAACACACCACTTTTTAAACATTTCTGTCAAAAGGGTCTTTGCGTGCTACTTCTTCAGGTGCTTTGAACTTCTCCAACAACGGTTGCGCGCCTGCGAGGGCCACCATCCCTTGCAAAAAATGAGACGAAGTGCACATGCGCGCGGCCGCCGCGCGCGCATGTCGAAATCCTGCCAAACACAATGGGTTTTCAATAATTTCAAGATGCGATGTTCAGAAAACATATGAAAACGCACTACTTTCTCATCCGAAAAATCTCGAAATCCATTCGCGGTCTCTTGATGAATCTTTAAAACCCAAGATGGCCCCAACAGGCGCGCAAGATGGCCCCAAGAGGCGTCCATGAGGCCCAAAGAGGCGCCCAAGATGGTCCCAAATCGCATCCCCACGAATTTGCCCCAAAAATGTGACCAACTATCTTGGCACTGCGTACCATCTCACGTGTACCGTGTACCACATCATATGTAACAGATGTGATCAACCTCTGTGGGTGTGTACCCCACGCCAGTGTAGTAGCCAGGGTCGTCCGCACGCCACGAAGTGAAGTGTCCCAACGTCATAGGGCGGGAAGCTGGGTGTGGGTGGTCTCGAAGAGTCGTTTGGATATTTGGTAGAGCTTGAACGGCCCCCCCACGAAGTGGGGGTATTGGCTGGTGTCGCAAGAAAACCCTGGCACTGGGGAGAACACTGAGCGTTCGGGTAAAATGATTGTTGTTGTTGTTGAACATTATTACTTCTAAAGAATAATTATTGTTGGGACCCCTGGTGCACGACCCCCCTCCAAAACCTAGGCCGCAGCTACATTTTCATCATTTTCTGCGAAAGCTTCAGAAAAGTGGATTGTCACCGGATCCGGTTTTTTGTTCCCCCCCGCTTTCCCTTGCAAAAAACACTATAAAATGAAATTTCTTGTTCAAATGTAATCAAATTTCAAGAATCCCTTGCAAAAAATAAGGTAAAGTGGACATTCGCGCGTGCAAGACGAAATCCTTCCAAAAGCTTAGTGTTCGGAGCGATTTTAACATAAAAACATCAAAAAACCAATGGTTTTTCAACAAAAAATGTCAAAATCTCATCCCGCGCGCTCTTGCGGATTCGTAGGAAAACCAACACTTTTTAAACATTTCTGTCAAACGGGCTTTTGCGAGCAACTTTTTCGAACTTCTGCGACAACGGTTGCGCACCTGCCAGGGCCATCATCCCTGTCAAATAATACCATGCGGGACACATTCGTTTTTTGCGCGCGCACGCCGAAACTTCAAAAACCATGCAACTGATGCCTTTGCGTATTCCCACTTCGGCACAGGAATTTGATTAAAAAATGTGACGAACTCCTCTCTCTCTGTCTCTCTCTCTTTGTCTCTCTCTCTCCCGCTCTCTTCCTCTGTCTCGCCTTCTCTCTCTCAGTGTCTGTACCATGTCTAGCACTGGTAACAAAGGTATTTGTGTATCCCCACATCCGCCCAGGAATTCCACAAATGTGACCAACTATCTTGCGAGTACGTATCATCTCATGTGTGTCGTGCACACTATCAAATGTAACAGAGTTGTGTATTCCCATCATCCCAGGAACTTGACCCAAAAATGTGACCAACTCCGCTCTCTCTGTCTCTCTCTCTGTCTGCTCTCTGTCTCTCTCTCTGTCTCTCTGTATTATGTATTGTATGGCACAATTGCACCATGCTGGGCACATGCGCGCCCCGAATAAGTGACCAAGTTCTGTGGGTGTGTACCCCACGCCAGTGTAGTAGCCACGGTCGTCCGCACGCCACGAAGTGAAGTGTCCCAACGTCATAGGGCGGGAAGCTGGGTTTGGGTGGTCGCGAAGAGTCGTTTGGATATTTGGTAGAGCTTGTAATGCCCCCCCACGAAGTGGGGGTATTGCCTGGTGTCGTATGAAAACCCTGGCACTGGGGAGAACACCACGCGTTCGGGTAAAATGATTGTTGTTGTTGTTGTTGTTGTTGTTGTTGTTGTTGTTGTTGTTGTTGTTGTTGAATTCCCACTTCTGAAGAATAATTAATGTTGACCCCTCCCCACCGGTGCATATTGTTTTTTCTCATTCAAAGTGTGCCCCTCGACGCTCGCACCATGTTTTTTGACAGGGAAAGTCTTCCTGCTCAAACTGGGCCCTTGGCCCCCGGGTTACAACAACAACGGCTCCCGCCTTAGACTTCCTGACAATTTAGCCAGGACTCCCGCTCCCGCCCGAGTTTTCCGCGCATTTTATTCAGGAATCGCGCTCTCGCTTGGGACTTCCTTACAATTTATTCAGGAATCGCTCTCTTGTCGCTCTGGAGTCGCGCTTTCGCTGGAGACTTGCCTGCAACTTACTGAAGAATGGCCTTGCGTTGGAATTTCTTATAATTTGCCCAAGCGCCGCGCTCCTGACACCCAGGCACCCAGTAGTCGCGCCCGTTGTGGCCCCATGTGCATGCCCTTCGTGTCCCCGCTGTCGACATTTGTGTCCCCCTCACTGTCCTACGAGCCCCGTTGAAACCCTCAGTGGCCCCGCTGGCCCCTAGTTGCCTTCTGCGGCCCCGCATTATCTGCCCTTCGTTGGCCCCCGCTCGTTCGCGCCTTCGTGGCCTACGCATTTTCCTTGCCTATCGTGCCCCTTCGTGGCCCTGCTGTCGTTCTCTCTCGCTCTCGCTTCGGCTCGTCGTCGCCGTCGGCGTCGTCGTCGCCCGTCGTCTTCGAGTCGTCGTCGTCGTCGTCGTCGTCGTCGTGGTCGGTCCCCTGTCCGTCCCTCTTGGGGTCGGGTCGACGGTCCGCGGCCGCCCCGCCGATCAGCGCTGCCGCTGGCCAGGCCGACGGTCCGCGGCCGCCCCGCCGCTTGCAGGGTCCCGGCCTGCAGGGAAGAAAGGTATACCC